GGCTAGCTTCAAGGGGTGTAGCCTTGGTCTGAATCTTTGAAGATTTGGTTTTGACTGCTACTCTAGTGATTAAATGTACTGTAACAAAAAAGTCCAGAATTTGAACAGAATTTAGAATTCGTTTAATATTTTATGACAACAAGCATTTCCAGCAGCCAGTCACGCTTAGTTTCACTGCATGCCTGAACATCAAATATTCAAATAAATGAATTATAATTATTTTGATGTCTGTCATTATTTTATTTTAGCAGAGACAGCACATTACCTACACATCTGTGTAAATCAGCGCTATAAAATTCCCAATACAATAAATATGCATATTTGCTTACAACTTTTGTTAAACCAAGAGCCTAGTTAAGTCAGTACAGTCCAATTAATCTTATTCGCAGCATGACACCCCAAGAGAACCGTTCCACAGCTTCCAATGACTGATGCCTCATCTGCACTGCTCTGACAGTGATCTGATCTGAGGTCAGCTTTAAAGCTTTCAGTGGTTAAGACTCTTTTTAAGGAGGAGCAGTCTTGATCTGTGTTAAAATGTATGCGCCCATATGAAGAAAAAAATAAATAAAATCCTGGCCACAATATATTTTAAATATATGTTTGTTTGTTTATGTAAAGCTACATAAAAAATAAAAAAAAAGATTACCGATCATGAAGTGATCCATTTATTGTAAATTAGTAATCTAAGGATTGTCCAGCAGGGGTCAGTAGGAGCTACATTTATCTGAATTTGCTGCTTTTGCATGATATTGTTAAACATCACAACTGTTATGATGTTTCAAACCTGAAGAAGATACTTTTAAAAATATATTTTATTACCCTGTGACCCTAAAGAGAATAAGTGGTTTGGAGAATGGATGGATAGGTCTAATTTATTATCTTTCACTGTTTGGACAAAACAGTTCAAACCATATTCTAAAGAAATAAATTAATATTGGTTTGGATCGACACGAGGGAGAGTAAATGATTACAATATTAATTTTGGGGTGAACTTTGAGTGATCCATTTATTGTAAATTAGTAATCTAAGGATTGTCCAGCAGGGGTCAGTAGGAGCTACATTTATCTGAATTTGCTGCTTTTGCATGATATTGTTAAACATCACAACTGTTTTAAATTTCAGCTGATCTTCAATCTAGAACGTGCTCTAATTTAAGATATTAAGTCATAAATCTTTGTCAGCCGCTATTTACATTAAGTGTCAAAAAGTAGATACGAATACACCAAATGCATGTATTAGATAGGCCTACTGTTTGCACTATGCCATAAAAGAGTCATAAACGTTGTCATGACTTGTGCACCATATTAGTTTAAATTTAAAATGTTTTAATGATGAACGAAACATGGATATTTTACTTCACAAGATGTTCATTAATTGGACTGGAGTCATTTGGATTACTTGTGGATAAATAGTGATGTTTCTATCAGCTGTTTGGACTCTCATTCTGACAGAGGATCCATTGGTGAGCAAGTAATTAATGCTAAATTTCTCCAAATCTGTTCCCATTAAGATACAAGCTCACCTACATGTTGGATGTCCTGAGGTTGAGTGCATTTTCAGCAATTTTTCTTTTTTCGGTCAACTATTCCAGACAAGAGTTTATACTAAGGGGGCCTATAATACCTGAAAAAACATTAATCTCAGTGGATGTTGTTCATCTTAAAAATGATTTCCTTTAAGTACACGGCCTGGGTGCTATCATCTTTGCACTTGGGCACTCAGTTTGAACATCTATATATATATCATGAAAGTGCGAATAAATAGTACGGCAAATAAAAACGAAAACTCATGGTATTGATACGCAAAAATGGACTTTGTCGTGTAAATGCTACGTGATGGGTAGGGTTAGGGTTGTGGGTATAGATGCGTATCATATGCACGCCAACAAATTTCGTATCACATGCACGCGAAAACTGCGTATCATGTGCACGCCAAAGTCCATTTTTGCATATCAATACACAAGTTTTTGTTTTTATTTGGCGTACTATTTATACGCATTTTCATGAGACCGGGCTCATATATACACCGCGTATATAATTATTAGACACGTTGATATTCTGATTATATTTTTTTCCAAGAACATTTTATCAATTCCAAACCACATCAATCTTAATAACTACTATTGATTTAGTATTTAATCATTTATAATTTTTATATAATTGTCAATGAATGCCTGGAAGTGAAAAACTCAGGTGTGCAGAATTATTAGGCATGTTTTCTTTTATTGATAAAATGAGAAAAGAGGTTTAACTCAGTCTGAGATGTCAAAAATTATTAAATCCCCATGAGAAATATTAAAAACTAATGCAATACAGAAATTGCAAAGTTAAGACATGACCATTGGACAGCAAAATTCTCACTGGGGATGTCAAAAATTATTAAAGCCCCATGAGAAATATTAAAAACTAATGTAATACAGAAATTGCAAAGTTAAGACATGACCATTGGACAGCAAAATTCTCACTGGGACAGCGGGGTCAGAAAAAAACAAGTGGAGAAGAAAGGACACATGTTAACTGCAAAAGAATTAATAATTAATGTGAAGAATTAGGTGTAAAACCATCAAGAACCATTTCCAGCGCCAACATTTTCCAGAACTGCAACCTTCCTGGATTCTCCAGAATTACAAGGTGTCAGGTTCTGAGATACTTTGCTTGGGTAAAAAAATCCTTTAAAAAAATGACCCTCACTTAATAAGAATAATATGCTGAAGTGTTGTGAAATACATGAAGACTGATTCTTTATAGGCTTTATGGACAGATAAGTTGAGAGTGACTCTTGAAGGACCAGCACCATTCTTCTGTTTGATTCTGTTTGAAGAATTTATCTTCCAGAATCTGGCAGTAA